TCTAATTAGTTCTGTACCACAATCCAGAGGTACCGAGGCACCACATTATTTTGGAGGCCTCATGCCTTGACAGGCTCAGCATCCCCTAGTGTGCCCGGGGAGTGAGGTGGCAGCCCCGTACCAGCCCTGATCCTGCGGTCCTGACGAGTTTCCACTGTGCCAAATGACCCGAGCAGCTCCTCCTGGAAAGCTGCAATTGGTTTGGCTTGTTGCTGTACCCTCGTGCCTGACGAGAAAGGCCTGGGAGGGCAGGAAGGGGAGAGAACCCAAACTCCTTCCCCAAACCCCAAATCCTACACCAACCCCAAATCCAGGGCGCGTGCGGGCACCTGCCGGCTGTGTGGCGCCCTCTGCGGGGCACGCGCGGCTCTGCACACCTGGGCACGCGCGGCTCTGCACACCTGGGCACGCGCTGTGCTGCACACCTGGGCACGCGCGGCTCTGCACACCTGGGCACGCGCAGTTCTCCATACCTGGGCACGCGCGGTTCTCCATACCTGGGCACGCGGGGGTCTGCACACCTGGGCACGCGCAGTTCTCCATACCTGGGCACGTGCCCCGCCCCTATCCCGATGGCTCCTCACTCCTGGCAGGCAGCCCTGGCACTCACCTGGCTCTCCGTGTTCTGCAGGAAGGCAGACCCGGAGGCCAGAGAGGAGCAAAGCGGCTCCTCCGGTCTGTAATAACCCTCACGGGAGTGTTTGCAGGGGGATCCACAGTTTAGCCCGGATTTGGAGGGGAGATTCCTGCAGCACCTCCACTCTGCATCATACCAGTCCCTGGCTTCCTGCTGCAGGTCGAATTTGTCGGTGTTACAGAAAGAAAATGAGCTGGGTGGGAATTTCTGTCTCATCGGGGTGCTGTGCTCTCATCAGTGGGAGCTGCTTGTGTACACTGCAAACAGCAGCACTGAACATGAAAGAGTTCTGCCAAGGCTGGGAGACAAACCTCGGACTTCTTTTGTTTCTCCTGCTTTAATTAGGAAAGAGCGAACGCATGAAACACAAGGAGTGCCAGAAAAGCAAATAAATGTAAGCCTTTGATGCTTTCTTTTCTTGAACACACACCTCTGTCAGCTCTTTCACCTCTGTCAGTCTCTCATCCCTTCAGAGGCTAAAGGTCAGAGGGGCCCCCTGTGAACCGCTGTCCTGGGAGAGGAAGAGGAAGGAAATGACAAATTAGCTCAGCTTTCCAGGCCTGTCTTGATACACTTGTGTGAGTCACCAGAGCGTGAAGACTTGCATCCATCAACACTTGGTTTCCTCTTCCGAAGCTGCTCACGTGACATCTGTAGCCGTGTTTCCCTGGGCCTGTGAACAATCCTGCGGCTCTTTGGTGCGGCTGCACTGCAGAGTCCTTTTACTGGAGAGAGTCAGCAGAGTTCCAGCTAAACCTACTCATTTTCATCACTTCTGGGAAGACCAGACTGATTCCTGGCTTAAGGAAGACTGGAAAAACTGCTCTTTGAGCAAGTAATGAAGAATGGCTTTCTGAAATTGTCCCAAACACAATGAAGCCACCAGTCACCACTTCACAGGCTTCCAGCTTCATAGCAACTTTGTCACACAGAGATGACATTTTGTTAAAGAATTGAGGTTTTGTTGCAATTTCAACATCTCGAGGTTTTGTTTTGCTCCCCATCCTGAACCCGAGCCTTGCAAACACCATCTCTCACTGCTCCAAAGCTAACAGCTCCTTTTCCAGCACAGCAGATGTGGGAAAACTGGATTTAAGACACAGGTAACTTGATTCCAGTTCCATCTCTTCAGTCAGCTTCCTGTTTCAAATAGCCTTAACTGTGTGGTGCCTCAATTCCCACTATCTTATGTATGATCTGTTAAATACCTGCATGCTTCTTTTTTTCTTTTTCTTTTTCTTTTTCTTTTTCTTTTTCTTTTTCTTTTTCTTTTTCTTTTTCTTTTTCTTTTTCTTTTTCTTTTTCTTTTTCTTTTTCTTTTTCTTTTTTTCTTTTTTTCCCAGGAGTTCTGAAGAATTTCCTTGCATTTTGTTATTAAAGTGAAATCTGAGGATTACATGAACCCATGTAAGTCCTGGCAATGGGGCTTTTAAATGAAAACACTGCAGAATTGACTGCAGATGTGGAGCTCAGAACTGTATCTCCCATTCTAACACCACCCATCCCTGGACCACTGAGGAAACTGTCCAGTAGCTGCTGCAGGAGCAATGGGTTTGTTGCTTTTCAAGGGATACCATCACTTAGATTCTGGAATCAAACAATTCCCAGGGATGGAAAGTCACAGCTCTGGTAAGAAAGGAGGAGTAGGAAATGCTGGCAGTATGAGGAGGCAGTAGAAGAACTGCCAGGGTAGGAATGCAGGGTCTCTTGGAACACTGTAGTGACAATGCTGTGTTCCACCCTGTGGTCATCACACCCACACCTGGGACAAGGGCCTCTGCCTTGCTGAAAAAGCGAGCTCAGGCTCACAACATCACACCCAGCATTCCCCTTTCAGCAGGCTCCTTCAGGGAGTGTATTTGGGCGTGCTCATGGCCAGGAAGGCAGCTCCAGGAATAGCAGGTAGGAAATGGTGTCGCGGGCCCACACGCAGCCCAAGGCTATTCTTAGGAGGAAGCCTAGAGCGGAACTTTAACAGGGAGTGTTTTCTGACTTCTGTTACAGAGATCAGGACAGTTAAGTGAGCAGTGCCTGAGTTTACAGTGCCATCTCAAACAACTGAGGGTGTTGGAGGCTTTTTTGGTGCAGGACAGGAAAATGCATGAGAGAGGGAGGGGATCTGGGTGACCTGCATGGCATGAACTGAGAGTCAGGGCAAACGGTGCCTGAGCACCTGTGCCTTGGACATTCTCACCTTCCATTTACTCCTGCATGTCATGACCCTCATGGCCTCATTCATAACACATCTAAGCATCACCTGCTTTGACACCAGAACACCTCTGGGAGGTGGAGAAGTTCTGGAATAAATTTGAAACACAGAGGAGCTGGGTACCTTACCCAGAGTCACACATGGAGTGTCACGCCAGAGATGTAAGCACAGCTTTGCTTGGTTAAAACTGCATTATGGAGGTCTGCATTTTCTTTAAACCTAAAAGAAATGAGGCTGCCTGCTGGAAAGAGAAGGCAACATTTTAATGATGCTCTGTTTGTAAGCAAATGTGCTGAGTATTTGGTGACCCTTAACTTACTAATTCAGAAAAAGAATGATCAAGACTAGCTAAACTACTTAATCTACTAATAAAATGTCAAGACCTTTGGAAGACACTGCTCTCCTGCACTCTTTGGCCTTTTTATTGAGGCACAATAGTGGTCTCCACCATTTTTTTTTATCACTTAGAACTCTTGTTTCTGTTCTTATGCTCAGGACTTGCTTGCTGGGCGAGAGAGACCTGCTCTGTCTACTGGAGGTCAGTTTCTTTAAATAAAAAAGTAATCCAGATCAATGTGGGATTACAGGGCACGAAATCTCCTCATGGCTAAGCAGGGTCAGTGTTCTTGGATGCCAAAACTGCCCTGTAGTTTCAGTTTGCAATAAAATACCTGGCTCCTTGCTGGCTGCTGCACTCCTCTCCCAGCAATGAGCTGTCCCCAGCACTGTTTGGGGCTGAACTCACCACAGACCATGGTCCAGCCAAAGGGGTGTGCTCCACATCCCCCAGGATCCAGCAGGCACAGCCAAGGGCCTGCTCAGACTGAGCTCAGGAGGAGATGCAGCCCTGGGTACTGAGCCCTACAGAAAATCTAGGGTTTTCTGGGTGCCAAAAGGTCAGCTGAGCATGCAGGAAAATCCAACCCTGTCCCTCGGCACCAGCACTGTCCTCACTGCTGGAGTCAACAGGGTTTCTGGCCACAGGAACCAACTTCTGCTGTTGTGGCCAAACACCAAAAGGTTAGATCTTGTCTGTGTTCACAGAAACTGTGAGGGAATTCTCACTGTGTACTCAAGGCCAAATCCAGCATTTAGCTGAGCCAGAGACTTCCAAGGGAGGCAAATCTTGTTCTGAAATTGCCCCATTTTTAGGGTCTCTGTTAGGATGCTTTCTCATCATAAAGCCCCTTTCCTGTGTCTTATTTGTTTTTCCCTATTTATTTTTACCTGCCATGAAATTATCATTACCAAGAGGAGCTATTTTAATGGTCTGAGAGAAGCAGGAGCATTTTGCTCAGACTGAGGCTCAGCAGAGGCTCTATTCAAGCAGTGTTCAGAACACACATCAGGAAGAATCTTCCCATCAGGATTCCCCAGCACTGACACAGAGGGGATTTAACTGCAGGATCCCCCAGGGTGCCACAAAACTCTGGCTCCATAGGAAAGGAGGGATGCCAGGAGTGCCTGGGGGCACAGGACATCCACTGGGGCTGCTGAATGACACATCTGCCTGCTCCAGTTTCCTGCAGAGCCCTGCATGGCTGACAGCTGGCCACCAGCCCGAAGTGACTTCAAAGAGCTGAGCTGGGCCCAAGAGATCCAACATCCTCTTCCTCTGAGCTTGCGCAACACCTGGGCTTCAGCAGCAGCCACTCCCATGAGCTCCTTTTCCAGAACAGAGATGCTCTGACCTGCACAACAGGAGCTCCAGACAAAGCTGTGCCAAGAACATCAAAGTCAAATTCTACTGGCAACTGAACCTTTGAGGAAAGTAGGATACTGCAATGCAGGACATTAGCAATGATTTTAGAATAGCTGAGTTTAAAATAAAAATAATGACTTCAACAACAAGAAAACAAGGAAGGGAAAGACCTGAAACCAAAGTTCTCCAACAGAGACTATGTTACTGCACAGGACTCCAGTGATAAGACCCAATTCCATAAAACAGCCACCTGAAATAGTATCTCATTAGCATTGCTACTGTGTAGTTGAGATGGTCTGAGGTCACTCCCCGCATTTACCTCCCCATTTCAGCTCTCTGTAGGGGTGGACTGGGTAGGTGGAAGGATAGGTACCATTCTCTTCAGGTTACTCTCAATCACTAGGAATGTATTTCATCATGCCCACATCCAGAAACCATACACTCTCACAAGCTGTGAGAGAAAGTAGATTTGTGACAAAGATTTATGCAGTGAGTCTGTTAAGAAATTATACACACCTCTGCTATTTTATAACACTTACAAGCACAGGTTTTAAATGTTTTGGGGCAAGCATAATTTTCTTATTCTGGATCTACCCGTAACTATATTCCTTAGTAATTCAAACAGTGGGGAGGCAGACCACAACTCAGGCTCCCAGGGCAAAGCCATGAATAAATGCATAGCATAATGAAGAGCAGAATATTTAGGTTCATAAATGATAGGTCCACAGTAGATGCAAGAGGCTTGTGTAAGCAGGACTCGATGTGAGGGAAGCAGCTTGTGTTTGCCCCCACTGTAAATGTTCCTTGTGCATGAAACAGCCCCTGGACACAAGGGGCAGGAGGACAGGGAGCACAAGGGGGCTGGCTCTCAGCGTGGTTATGCTGCTGCTATTCTCCAGGACGGCTCTTGATTTATGTGCATCAAAAGCATGCCGGCCCCTCATCTGTGCTGCCCGCGGCTCAGCTACAGAGCAGAAGGATCTGTCTCCAGGTTGTTTTACAGAAGTCACATCCGTGGCCGCACGACTCCCTCTCTCGCAGGCGGCGGCTCGGGCCGGGGGAGCACCAGCGTGTGAAGTTAATCTAACGAAAGCAGCTGTCTCCGGCAGGATTAGCGATTTTCATTGCCTGCGATGCTCTGCAGTGCCCGCAGGAGCCCGGCCCCGCTCCCCGGGCCGGCCCGGTGGCTGCAGAGGGCACCAGAGCGCCGGGCAGGTGCCGCTGCAGCCCGGGCTGCGAGGGGACAGGGACAGCCCAGCGCCGGCCGCAGCGCCCGGAGAGCGCCGGGCAGCCTCGGGGAGCCCCCAGTCTGTGACGGGTACCCCCAGTCTGTGACGGGGTACCCCGAGCCTGCCGCCGGCAGCCCCCGCCTGTTACGGAACGCAGCTCCAGCCTCAGGACCATCTGTCACCGCCGCTGCTGCTGCGGAACCAGAGCCGGTGCCGCTGTGCCGGGAGGAGAGCAGGGATTTACAGCCCCGGGGGACCGGCTTCATCTGGGTACTGGCTGCACGCCAAAACAAGCAGCAATAAACACATTGGCCCAACCGGCTCCGTTTCTTACTCAAGTAATTTCCCGCACTGGAAGAAAATGCAGAATTGCACAATATTTCTGGGCAGCTGTTTTCTCCCTCTTGTGTCACTTCAAGGCACAGGGGATATCACGAAAAGTGACATAAAATGCTGACTTTCATGTGTGACCATATCCTTTAGCTTCTGATAAATTCAGCGAGTCTGTGTCCCTCCCTGGCTCACGGGAGGATGCTCTGCATGAAACTGGGGGAAAATGGCATAAAAACCATGCCTTGGTTTGGACAGAAACAGCATTGGTTTAGACACAGTCAGCTGGGAGCTTTTGCAAGACTTTGAGGCATTGGATGAAGTCCACAGGGAACAGGAAATAAGCACTACTCTAACACCAGTGCTCCTTGTTTGCAAGGAGCACTGCGAGCTGCGAGCTGGCATGTGTTCTGAAACTCCTATTACAGCACAGAAGTGCTCACACTCCTTTATCCCAGCATCTTTAAACAGCCCCATTCTGTGCGAATATCGGTGACCATTTTACTGTGATTTCCAAGTGGTGAGATCTCAGCCTTGCACAACCCAAACATGTCAATATTTCAAATTTTCACCTGAGTTCAGCAGACGGATCCTTCATTCCCAGTGGCAGAAAAGCACTGCAATTTTCCTATGACCTCATCGTTGCTCTCTTCCTGACATCACTGCAGAATAGTTATCTGAGTAACTCAATAGGCCCTCCTAGGGCTGGGTTGTTTGAGGTTTATTTTTTCCACTTTTAAATCGGTAAGAACTCCATTGTTGCTACAGATAAGCAGCCATTTCGGGTTATTTGAGTGCAAACTGCAGATAAGAGAGTGTCTCCTGAAGGCTTTTGTTGTCTCTTTTGCCAGCGGCTTTTTGTTTCTCCTGTCTTCATGTATAAGCTGTTCCGTGTGTGAGGGAAAGTACAGCGATCACAACTGCTTCCACAAGCGGTTGGGGAATCTGTACTGCCCTTGGGACTCCCAGCCTTGATTTGCAAGTCTCACTTCCATTCGTGAGCTGGCACAACCCTCCCATGGCAGTAACTCAGCCTTTCCCAGAACTCCCGCAGAGTGGGCTGAAGGCTGGGCAGGTTCTTTACTGGCGAAAGTTTTCTGCTACAGATGTCTGAGAACCAGGATCCTTCCATGAGGAAAATGGGTCCAGCTCTAAGAGCCTTGGAAAACACCAATTCTATGAGCTTAGAGCAAGATTCATGGGAAGAGATCCCTTTACCTTCTGTGTGCTGAAGTAAATGGATATGGAGTCTGGGATTTGGCAAAGATAAAAGGGATTCCATTTCAGTTATAAGAGTGAAATAGTACTGCAAGCTGGAGAGAAAGTTTTAGCCAGCTAGGATTGATCCAGTGGGTTCTGATTCCCAGGATTCAGCCTCGTAGCAGTCATCGTGCTCATGAGTGACAAAGGCCATTAGAACTTACCAAATGAAACACTTCTTCTACAGCCCAGGTCAGGAGGATTTAATCCTTCATTTTTTCCTCTTTGCCAAATAATTTCAATCACAAAACTGGTATGAAGAGCTGACCTGTGAGCGTTGTTTCTGTGTGCAGATAAGCTTCTGCTGGAGTTGCAGCATGATACTCTGCCTTTCATCTCAGTTTTTGCAGCTCTCAAGAGTAGCAGGGAGGTGTTGTGACCATCCAGCACACATCTGGAGAGCCCAGGTCAGAGCCTTCTGTGACACCCTGACTGCATTCCTGTTCTTTGCTATCACAGCCCTAGGTAATAATCAGAAGGGAGTGCCCAGTCACATGAGGGATGAGCCAGTCCAGCCTGTTTCCTGATTTTCAGGGTCAACAATTTCTTATATCATTCCACACTCACAGAGCATTTCCCAGATGGAACAGCTGCAGTCCACTTTTCAGCTCTGCCAACAGCCCACAGCTTCAGGAAGACACTTTCCTCCCTGCCTTTCCCAGGTCCTGCAAGACTTTGAACAGCACTCATGTCTAAAGGCAAGTTTAGAGCTTGCCTACTAGGGCTTCCTCCAAAAAGTACTCTACATAGGAGTCATCATGATAAATTACTCCTAATAAAATAACCAACCTTCTCCAAAACCTTGTGAAAGAGACAGTTAGGTAAGTTCTATCAGCTCTAGTTTACAAGGAGATCAAAAGATCATCTGTGAGATGTGCCCAGAGCTACATGTGGCACACAAGGAAGAGGCAGCCAGTTCTGCCTTCCTCTCCTCTGCTGTCCTCTCCAGAGCATGCTGCCTCCAAACCCAGCCTTTAGCAGCACAGCCTCTCCTCACAGCCCTCTTTTCTTCACCTTTCTACATGGTAGATTTTGCTTCTTTAACATGCAGGAAGAGGCACCTGAGCTGTACCAGTCTCTGAGGAGCCCACCCTTGTTCCAGGCTACTGCACCACTTACTAACCCTGCCTTGCATCTTGATGGGCCTGTCTAGGATGACCACTTCATTCGAGAAAATAGATACCCTGGGGAAAAAAAATCCAAACCTAGCAGGTGTTTACTACTTATGCATCTCTGGTAGCCTGACTATTTCTTCTCGTCATATATTTTCAATTTCTATGCATGCAACTACCTACCTTAGAAGCACCTGTTAAAAAGAAAGGGTTAACTACAAACACTGTGTGCAGCAGATGTGCATTGGGATGACTTTGCTCAGTATTACCCCTCTCCATTATTCACAAGCTCCTACCAGTCTGCTCTCAGCAGGGATACCATATGTGGGATTAAAGGAAGAAAGGAAACAAGAACCAAAGTCAGGTTTCCCTGGCAGCACAGTTTATGTGCCTTCCTAATGTGCTGCTTTATCTGTCTAACAGAATAGCAGTAGCTGCTGCAGAAGAGAAAAATAAATTATGCCTTAATTAGGCACATCTTGGTTGCTTTTCTAGTGTCCCCAGGGAGGCAAGGCTGTGTCATTCTAACTCCATCCATTTAGGAAAAAACCCCATGTACACTTGGGACCCTTGGGAATATTCTGGAAGGCATGAAATTCCCTGGCACACCCAGCATACTGCAAGCCATGTGGGGATTTATCACTTGCCCAAATGCAACCCTCTGTGTTCTTTTCTCAGCTCAGCTGCTAATGAATAACTTTACTTTTCCTTCCCCTCTGTCGTTCCCAATCGTTTCTCTAGGAGCAAAGCTACTGTGTTTGGGAATGCCAGACTGTGCTGACTGCAAGAGCCTGGATAACCTGACTGAGGTAACAAGCTCCAAACAAAGCATTTCTAATGGGAAAGACATTGCTGAGAACTTTTCGTTGGTGTCTAATCAGCCAATGAGTTCATGCTACAGCTTGGCACTTCCATCGTAAGATTATTTTCCCCAATCAGGCAGGGATTTAATTATCACTAACACCTTTGCCCTTCTATGACATTTATTTGAAATAAATAAATACTTTATTAGGGAGCCACACAAGGTGCCTTGCTGTACCCAGTGCTTTCCTACAGGCAGACAGCACAGCTCGTGGAGCAGAACTCTGTGTGCCCCAGCTCCGTAGCCCACCCCTACATGCATGCCTCACTCCCCAGGACAGTCACTGGTTTGGACTGGGAGCTGTCTGTGGAATGACTAATGCAATCAGAAGTCAATCTCGATGAGTCCCTCTGCACATCACTGTGTGGAAAAAGAAGTGCATTAAGCCCGGCTTGCTAAAAGCTGGGTCAAAATGCTTTGACCACATCACAGTAACAACACTTAACAAGGCAAAATGCCTCCTGTCAGAGGCTATTCCCAGCCCTCCCTCAGTGCTGCAGCAAGCAGCAATGCTAGGTTTGTTTTCCTAGCACAAGCTGACCTTCCGTGCAGCCAATACCCGAAGCACATTGTCTGAGGAAAGGGAGCTGACAGCACTGACTGATGCAATCCTGTGAGCGCAGCCGAGTTAGCACAGCCGACTGCACCGCCCTGCTGAGCTGGGAGCCGCGGGGCACTGCACCCGCGCCTTTGGGCTGGAGATCCTTTGCAGATGGGGGAACTTTCCCAGTTTGAAGGATACCAGAGGGGTCAGCATGTGGAGGGAGTGCAGGGAGCATTGGCTGAGCTAAAGTTCCCAGCCTCACAGCACAGGTGAACAGCATGTTATTTTGAAGACATCTAGGGCAACCAACAACTGCTAAAATTCTACAGATGTCTCATCTTTTTACAGAAATGCAGAATGGAAAAGGACCACATGGGTTCTTTCATAGCTTGAACATCTATATAAAATTATTAGCAAGTCTTAACATCCTGATTATCCTTCATGAAAATACTCGGATGCCTGTGGGTTTGATATTTCTGATTTCCTATTTTAAATGCGAATTGTTTGGGGTAAATGACAGCATTTATTGTTTGAGGAGAGATGTTTTGTTTCATGTTTTGGTAAAAGACAGGCAATACAACTGAACAAGGCTCTTGAATTTGGAGAAGTTTGCAAAGGGGGTTCACGGATGGATGGGAGCTGGAAGCATTCTATCAAATAGCTCTGACCACAGTCTCATCAAAGAAGCACCACATGAAGCATTTAAGTCCAGTATTCTAAGTTCTAACTTCACTAAACTCAGTGAATATGTGGAGTAACTCCACTAAACCCATGGATTCATGTTTTATTATGCCCATTGTAATGGCCAAAATCCGACCTTTAGAAAAGGGTTCTGGGAAGCACAGATGTGGATGGATCACTTCGACCCTTTTCATCTTCTAAGTTTAATTCCTCAGTGCTCTCCATGGTTTAAACAGACATGTCAGACAGAGGAAACATTCTCATCTCTGGTTCATGGGGGAGGCAGACAGACGAGATGATTTGCCCATGGCTATACTTTTCTAAAAGAGCCAGGAACTGAACCAGACTGGTCCAGTCTCAATGTCTCCAGCACAGGGTCATCATTCCCTGCCTTGAAATGGATATGGATTTCAAACTAACTCTGTGCTTATGCAACATTCTGAATACAACCACTTTCCTGCACTGAGCCCTCTGTCCTTATTATGATCACGCATTGTGGTCTTGTCAGGCCACATTCCCCCTCAGAACCAATGGGACCTGGACCCTCTACAAGGCAGAAGCAGCAGCCAGGGCCAGCTGCCTATTCCTCAGCTGCTGAATTCTCCCATTTTGCACTCAGAGAAGGGGTAAAACATACAAGCTGCTGGATCAGAGAAAATTAAACTCAAGTATGAGGGAAAGTGGTAAGGGTTTATTTTGTCCTTTCCTGTCCATTTGTCCACCATGAATGCAGAAGGTTTTCTATTTGGTACTGTGGGGTAAGAGCCAGAATTTTCAAAACTTTGGCTCAGTTCCTGCCAGCATTCTTGTTCTCTTATCTTACTTCCGGTACAAACTATTTCCAGAGATGGTGCGATGAGAAAGAAGAGTGAGCAGAAAATCAGGAGACTGAATTCAAATGCTAACAAGAACCATCCAAGACCATTCTCTCCTCATACACTCTCAGCAAGGTCAGAGTGTGGACTTGTGCAGAACTGGCGCAGCTGAACCCCAGCATGCTGGCAGTTACTGGCAGTTTCTCATTTCAAAATGAGAAACTCAAGACAACAGTTAACGTAAAACTTATGCCCATTTGATTTTATAAAGACTTTTACTGTGTTTGAGCAGACTGCAAATACATGGCTCACTATTTTCTCTGGCATCATGAGAAAAAGGTTTATCTGCTTGTGCATTTGTTCTTGGTGGGTAGTTTGGACAGAATCTATCTCCTCTGTGAGAAGTTAAGCATACGCACAAAGCCCTGAGCCCCCATTTAAAGGAAGATTTGCACAGTAAGTTTGGGCTACCATACTCCTCACACTCATGCTATGCATGCTATTAGCTGGTTAATTAATGGGTGCACTAAATAGCTTATGTATTGTATGAGTGCCATAATCCACAGCCTGAACTGTACACAGAGGTCAAGCAGGGACTAGGACAGTACATGCCCTTAAAGGTGAGGTGACTTTCAAGAGTCAAAAAAATAAACCAGAAATATTTCTTTGCTGAGAACCAAGGTGTACAGAAACAGCCTAAAGGTATTTTAAGGATATCTCTTTTTATGTCTCTTTCACCTGACAAGCTCCAGCTGGACCAAAATAATTTACTATTTATAAACATAGCATCAAGTGAAGACTCCTGGTACAAATGTGTAGTGACTGTCCACGCCCTAACGGGATGGAAGCATCATTCTGTGAATATGAACAGAACCTTGCTGGCATCTCTTCGCACCATATCAAGGCAACAAAAATTTGCAACTCTCAAGGCCTCACAAATCAAGACACAAACTTTCTTTACGTCATGAATTTGGCCTACAAATTGTCACAGAATAATAGGGGGTAAGTTTTTTCCTTTAACTTCAGACCTAAGACTGCAGATTCTTCCTGCTGCTTTTGTTTTCTTTGTAGCCTGACTTGCTCTGTCCCTTCAGGCTTTGTTTTAAAAACCTGCAATTGTCCAGTGGATGCTCAGTCACAGTTTCTCTGTGCCCTTCAGTATTTTCCTCCTAAACTTGAATTTCAAGCCATTGGCTACCTTGAGACCTGACCCAGTTTTACACTGCATGGCACACAGAACCCTTGTTCCCCAGGACTGACACTGACTTGAACAGAGCTCTGTGCACAGCTTGTCTTGCAGCTGTGGTCTCTGGAATACAAAATGAAAGGAAAGGGTTAAGTTTTTTAGCTAGTTCTGAAAAATAGGGTGCCACTGTGAGAGAGAATTAAAATGATAATGAATACAGACTGCAGTTCTTTAGGATACACAGTGTTTTCTATAAATTTCATTTTGCATCTTCCCTTCAAAATCCCACTCTTTAACATATATTACAAATAGTACACTGTTTTATAGAATTCACATTAAGCATAATTAAGTAATGTCATGAAATCTAGTAGATCCGAAATCAAGATTTTCTCTTTAAATATGTTTCTCTCCTTAACAACTTAGCACTACTGTAATCATTATGAACAAAGAAAAACTGCCAGACCCTAATCAGCACACAGCAGGGATGGGTCATGGACACATTTATCTTCCTTCTCACAAGCCTCCCCTGGATAAAGGAAATGCCCTAATACTCAAGGCATCTTGGACACCAGATGGCTGATTATTAGACATTTTATGAAGAGGAAGGAAGTAAAGAGAAACAGCCTGAATTTTCATGGTACTGTAGGCATAGTGGAAAGGAGGGTGGAACACGGACTTAATCCAAAACTTACTAGATGGGAAGACACTGATTTCAAAGGACTTTGAATCGGAAGGAACAAAAGATCTGTGTTTGCTTTTCCTTCTGCAGATTAATTCTCAACTAATCAAGAGTGAGAATGATTGATAGTTGCATAAAATGTCCTTTTTATTATCATACTCTAAGGACTTCCTGCTGAGCCTTTTTTTTTTCCTGCAGTGGACAGGTTTAGGCTTCTGAATATTCTTCAGAATGTTGCAAGCTTTCTTTAGACTATCTACAGGCTTTTCACAGACCTGGTTTCCAAGAGCCTGACTCAGTAGAGCAGGAGCAGGCTGTGAGGCCAGGAGGAACAGCAGAACACACCGGCAGTTGCACGCAGAATTCCATCTCCAATGAAGGAATGCCACTGGCAATGCCCCTCAGATGCATCAGGGCAGTCCCTCCACTCATATCATTTGGCCCAGACTCTTGCAGTGTCTCAATGTTTAGAAATCTGTAGAAGTCAGCTCCTCCCATTTTATCCATGGCAGATTTCTTGCAGCTCTTCTAAAACAGAGCTGTCAGTGCATGCAGACTCTCCCCGGGGACCACTACATAACTGAGAGCTACAAGACATGCACCAGAATGCTTCAGAAAAAGGTATTTCGTGGATATTTCACAGGTGGAAGATGGCAATAGATCTTCCCAGGTCCCACCATGCACAGCAGAGGGATACAGCTACATGTGCCGGTGAATCTTGGGAAGAATCCAGATATTGAATCTATTGAATCTATTGGTCTTTGTGGTGCTGCTCCTCCCATGGAAAGGGATGTGGATTATCCAGCAGACCCTGAAAATACCAGGACAGCATTCCTGCTAGGTATGTAATGAGAGACATAATGTACTGCTTGAGAAATGGCTGTGGTCACCCCACTTGCGAGGCACTCCACACAGTGCGGAGGAAGGGTTGAAGAACTGGAAAGGAGGCCTCCCACAGAGGAGAACAAGAGCTGGTGGTAAAATCTCCACACAGAAGCAGCTGCATCAGGAAAAGTTTGGATTGTTTTTTTTCTTTTTACCAGAAAAACTGGCATTTATTCAGAGCTGCCAACATACATAGGGCTCTAGGGCTCGGGGGTGGGAGGAGTTTGTTCTCATTTTGCTAATCATGTAACTCCCGTTGGCAGAAGCCCGAGTGCAGGACAAGCCTCAGCGGGGCGTGCAGAGCAGACTCTGGGCCCGGGGCCTTCCCAGAGGGTTGTCACATCAAACGGATCCGAGGCACGGGAATAATGGAAGCAGATGATTAACCCGCCCAGCTCCTCTCCTTTATTTAAACACCAAGAAAGGGCACTGGGGAATGAAGCTAATAGCAGTGTGGAGTCCCAGCTCCAGAATCATAATGATGGACCTGGAGCCTTTTCTCACCCAGATGAAAGAGGGGCTGTTGTGCTGCAGTTCACAGCCTGCTAATGACAAACACAACTAAAACCTTCAGCCTGTTTCAGACTCAGGCCTGTAATCTCCTTATGCAATACACTTGACAAAGCTCTCTTGTGGAATATGAGCCTGCTTTTTCCACCACAGTATATACCCCCTCCCTCACCAGACTGTGTGCTACTGGACTTGACTCATTTAATTATTTATTAATTATTTTTACTCTGAGAGCATTTAACAAAATAAATAGGTTATTTTGCTGCAAATAAAATCAGGAAGCTCTGCTTGCAGGGATATGTCTGTCTGAGGGGAAGAGCAGCAGCTCACCTGCTGCATTGTTTTGAGCGGTAAAGCTGCCTAATTATTTTTTATTATCCCTGTGTTGTTTCGTTAACCAAATATTTGTCTTTTTGCCTCACACACATATCTAATGCCAATATACAAATTGCACAAGGGGATTATGCCAGCATGAGTCAATCTAGGGTGTGTTTATCCTTGGAGAGACATAAGCCTCTGTTTCTAAAGGCGGGTGTTTCTTATCCTTGTTAGACCTATGAATATCTTTCGCCAACAAAATTTGTCACTTTTCACTGTTGGCACGTCTGCTGCTAGAACAAACCCCACGGGCTGGCAGGGCTCCAAGTGGGGTGGGGGCTAAAGCCTCTGGGCCTGTAATTATTGAGTATTTATATTACAGCAGCACTCAGAGGCTTCTCACTGAGATTCAGGCATTGCCATGCGAGAAGAGAGTAAAAGACTCTTCCTGCCCCAAACAGTTTATTTTACTGGTGATAAATAACAGACAAAAAGGGAGCACTATTGCAACACAGCTAATGCTAAAGAAAGACTACAAAACCCATCAGATTACTCTAAAAATAAATGTTGGGGGGTTTATCTGTTTTATAGACAACTAAAATTCTTATGTTCTTAAAGCTAGAAAGTTTCTGGTTGCTGTAACAGCTGCAATGCTTTTTACTCACGTGACTCCAGAAGGTAAGGTGAACACATCAGTCCAGTCCTCCTCCTCTCAGTCCCATCTCAAAGTTTCTCTCTGTTGAAGGGGAAGTGAGCAGGGGGTTGGTGGTGCTTAGCCGCCAGCTGGGGTTAAACCACGATACCTGTACACAGAAAACACTGAGTGAAGCTACATAGCAGTTTCTTGTGCCTTCCACTTGTGGGGCAGAAATTCCCTCAAGATTGCCCAAACTCAAATGTTTTCCCCACCCACAAAAATTATTTTGAAGAAAAGGAGCAGTGTTTAATTTTCACATATTTTCCTCCATTATTGTCAGCACACAGTTCAGTTTCCTTTATCTATCCCTAACTCACTGGGATCCACCACTGCCAAATCTGTGGATTTGCTGGTCCATCCCTTGCATTTAGTCAAATGCCATTTGACACAGACAGCTAAGCAGGAAAAAATCCATGGAAGAAGTGGACTTAGACTAAAATTTTTTTAAAGGTGAAGGTCATGTCTTATACTTGTGTGAACTGGTTTGGCTCAGTTGCAAGCAATGGAGATATCTAAACTAGGGAATGGTGAGGATTTGTTCCGGGAACACCATCTCACCATCCTCACTTTCTCTGTATATCCTAACAAGAATATCCAGCAGCATGTCTAAAAATAGGACTTAAGTTTCTCAGCTTCCCAGCAGAGGAGCATGCCAGAGCTACTGTGTATTCCTGTGCTGTGCCGGGAGAGGAATACTCCTATGGCTGTGTAGGAGGAAGCCTTTGAGGGGAAAATCATCGGCGATAAAGGCCTCTTTCATCTGAAATACCTAACATTTCAGCTCTTCAAATCCCAACACTACATTTTCTTAAAACAGGTCTCTATTATGTGTTAAACACATCAAATAGAGCAATTCAGTTTCATCATCTAAATTCAGTGTTGTGATAGCTGAATGAAATTGGGGCAAGCTAGCTAAAAAGGTAATAGAGGCTTTTCATACAGGCAGCGTGTGAAATGCATCAGTGCTTTTCTTTCTCCAGGAACAAAAAAAAAGGTATTTTTCCCCAGTGAGCTTATTTTACTGAGTCCGAGACCATTGCTGTGGTCCAGGACTTCCAGGGGTGTTTAGCAAGGTTTGGGCTTTATTCATGTAGCTAGAACCTGATCTGTGTAGGCAAGAGAGATGGGGGCAGTGGGGAAGAGAAATCCTCTCCATCCTTAGGCCAGTGGCTTAACCAAGGACTTTGCAGTTTTCTCTGATCTAGTTCAGGCATTCCACATTTTATTGTTTTCAGAACTATTGGTTTTTGACACAGTGGCAAAAAAGGCCACTGTACAATGAAGTTGACAATGTGGGTACGGTTCACTCAATCAAAAAAACCCAATTGTTTTACTCTAGAGCATGCAGTTCTTATGTCCACCCTACATTAACTGTACATTAAAAAAAAAATCCTAAGAGGTGCATCAATCAATGTGTAAAGTACAACATATGTCACTTCCTGACACCTCTGGGAAAAGAGGTCATTCAGTGTGCTCACATGGTCCTTCTAGCATGGCCCAGCCATGGTATTTCTCTTTTCAAACTCTCTGATAAGCAGTGCTTTTACCCCATCTCCTTATAGACAGAAAGCTGTGGTTTCAGACAACTTAAACTTCCAGGACTGCAGACAAAGCATGTGGTGGAAGAGCAGCCTGAGCTCTGGGAAGGCGCCAGCCCCACAGCCTTGGAGGCAGCGGCAGGATGATGAGCAGGGATGGATGCCCAGGCAGTGTTTAGTCAGCACATTTTTCCCGCAGGCCCAAGGGCAGCCCTGTGTGCTGGGGCTGGAATGCTGCCCACGGATGGCAGCCGGGTAACGAGGGCGGCACTCCCAGCGCACAAACACTGCAGGGAATGCCAAGTATCCTGTGATGCAGGCCCACAGGTTTCCTAGCTTGCTTTCTTATGCAATGCGCTTGGCCTCTTGTCTATAAGCGAATGGATATTCTCAGGTGGGTACACGGAGAATGTCTACAAGAACAATGTCCTGTTATTAACATTCCCTAGTTCCACAGTCACCTGTACTTGACGATTTCAACCCCTCAGAGTCCTAGGAACTAAAATTTCCAGTGCTAAACTTCCAGTGCTCCTGAGTGCAGACAGGGTAGACAAAGGCTTTTTCACAAGGTCAGAAATATGGAGGTAATAAGCAAAGTTACTTTCCCAAAACCACAGGACTGATCAGATGGCAAACTAATTAAACCCTAATCCAGCAAAGCCCTTATTGCGTATGAAATTTACAGCATGTGAATAATGACAATGAAATCAAATACTTAACCTGACCCACATTCTTAAGAAAATTACTAAACAGCATATGCCACACTACTTGATGCAAATCCATACAAACTAATGTGGATACCAGTATTTATCTAACTATGAAAAAAAACAGCTCAGCTGCTTTGCCCTGCTCCACTGCCTCATGTCCTAAATTCATAGTTTCTTTTTTTTTTTTTTCCCCAAGAATCTCCCTTCTGTATTGCCACATGTGGCTCAGATGTCATTTAAGCTTTTAAAACCTGGTATCAATTTAGTGCAAATTAAGGAGGCTGTCTTCTTCTGTCAGTAAGGTACAACCTAACTGCCTCTCTGGATCCCTCATGTCAGATGAGCAGTCCCAATTCTAATAATTGGGAGATGAGTGGTTCCTGCACTGACAGCTCAGCTCTGTCCAAGTCCATCAGACAGGCTGCCTATGAAACCAAATGTAATGCAGTTACCTGAGTTACCTGGACATTTTTCTCACATTTCCATTGTGGAAACTGAAACCACAGCAATTCCACAAGGCAATCATGAAGTTCCCTCCTACTCACGATAGGGATGAACGCACACACCTATCGTACTCAAAGCATATATTCACTAAAATATGTTTATCCTAACGCCCGCTCACACCTCCCCTAAGCCCTGCTTCCTCCAGGGGCTCGGAGGGAGCCGACCGCGGGCCCCTCAGAGCGAGCTGCGAGCCCTGACATACCTGAGGGGCTGAGGCGGGCACGGAGACGGGACAGGGAGACAGCGAAGCGGGAAATGAGGGCTGAGGCGGGCACTGAGGGCTGAGGCGGGCACTGAGGGCTGAGGCGGGCACTGAGGGGTGAGGCGGGCGCTGAGGGGTGAGGGACGCGCTGAGGGGTGAGGCGGGCGCTGAGGGGTGAGGCGGACACTGAGGGGTGAGGGACGCGCTGAGGGCTGAGGCGGGCACTGAGGGCTGAGGCGGGCGCTGAGGGGTGAGGCGGGCGCTGAGGGGTGAGGCGGGCGCTGAGGGGTGAGGCGGGCGCTGAGGGGAGCGCCCCGGGGCGGTGACGGGCGCTGAGGGCGGTGGCGGGGGCGGAGCGGGCACGCTTGCGGGGCCCGGCGGCCGCGCATGTATCGCGCGGTGATTGCCCGACGACAGCAGCGGGGCGGGCCGAGCCGGGCCGGGCCGCCTCCCGCCCGCCTCCCTCCCTCCCTCCTTTCCTCCCTCCCTCCGCCGCTCCCCCGCCGCCGCCTCGCCTCCCGGCCTCCCTGATGCCGAGGGATGGATAGAGCGGCTGCCCTGCGAGCCGCCGGCATGCTGGAGAGGAAGGAGCGGAGCGGCGGCGAGGCGGCGGGGCCGCGGGTCTTGCCGGCCGTGCGGAGCACGCTGCAGCAGTGCGGGCTGCTGCAGGACCTCATCGACATCTCGCTCTCCAACCTGCGCGGGCTCCGCACCAAGTGTGCCGCGTCCAACGACCTCACGCAGCAGGAGATCCGCACGCTGGAGGTACGGCGCGGGCTGGCAGCCGCGGGCGCCGCAGCTGCCGCCTCTGCCCCGCTCGGCCGTGGCCTGCCGCTGCCTGGCGCCCTGTCCCCTCGGCCCCGGGGCCGCGCCGCGCCTTCTCCCGCGGGCCGAGCGCCGGTGGCGGGGACAGCGGCGCCCCGGCTCCGCCGCGGAGCTGTCAGCGGGCCGGGCGCTCCCCGCCGCCCGGGGAAGCCGCGGAGCGGAGCGCGGTGCCGACGGAGTGCGGACAGGTGCGGGACAGCCCCTGGGGTGCCCCGGGCTGTCGGGCGGGTGCGCGGGAGCTCCGTGAGGCGGCGTTCGGCCGCGCCCCGGGGCCTTGCCGGGCTCCCGTGTCCCTGTGGAGCGGGATGCGCAGTGTGAGGCGCGGAGCAAAGGTGACTCGAGCCTCGCTGGCAGGAGGTGTGTCCCCACACCGCTGTCCTGGCGTGCTGGGAAAACTCCCCTTTGCCTCCTCAGGTCCTCCCTGTTTGCTCCTGATGATTCCTGCCCTCTGTTCCGGGCCTGTCTCTCTATCCCTGGCTCAGTTTCACTGATCTAATCTGATCCTGCTTTTCCCTCTGTTGCTGTAGCTCAAACAGCATCATGGACCGGGCTGGAGAGATATTCTGCTGTTTAGAAAGATTATATGAAATTCTTCAAACACAAAACATGCGCTGCTGTGATGCTCTCAAAGAAGAGCTGGATCTGTATGAAGAGCTACATAAGTACATAGGAAAGGAAAGTAGATGTATTTTTCCTTAGTTAATTTGACCTTTAGAAACTTAAATAACATTTCCTTTTACCTTCTGTGTAGGTAGTTTTGCTCTAAGCAAGCAATCCCCTCCTGTCCCCTTCTGTGATTTAAGTTTGATGTAAATGCTAGTGCTCCTCTACCTGGTACTGGAGACAGTGGAGCTGGATAGAGCATTAGGCTTTTTAGGAAGAAAGGATCATCAACAACACTGTAACTGTAATAAACCTACATGCTGAAAAATCCATCACATGAGAAATGAAGGTTGGGAAGAAAACCATGAAACAATAGGTGGTAGGTAGCTTTTGGCACAGCCTCCTGGAAATCTATCATTCTTCCTTTATTCTTCGTCTGACTTTTTTTGTGGTTTTGGTTGGTTGGTTGGTTTGTTTTGTGGGGTGTTTTGTTTTGGTTGGGTCTTTTTTCCCCCCAAATTTATAGTGCTGTTCTTCTTCCTGTCACCTCCAAATAGTATCCAAAAGACTATTCTCTGTGACACAATATTTGTATAGCCTTTTGGCAGCCCTACTTGAGGGCCTTTTCGATGCCCAAACAATGTCAATCAGCATAATTTCAGAAAATTATCATCACTGTTTTGCTTGTGGACCTGTTCTAAAAGAACACCTTTTTTCACAAAGTGTAAAGGCATTTTATGACCTTGAGGCTCTTCTTAAAGCAACGATAGCTGTTGAGTGTCTGCGGACAATCCTCTTCAGCATTTATCTGTTTAAACAAATGGGTGCCACATTCACCGATGATCATAACATTTATGTTCAGAAGAAAATCTTTTTGATGTACAGTCCAGTATGTGATTTCTCTGGGAGTTCAACCAAGTGCTGGATCTCTGCCCGCACATGGAGCTGTGGGCATGGGTACAGACTCAATGTTCTTTGCGCTGTTGGGTTGCCTGTACCAAAACACATGTCAGGCATGGCCTGAGTCTTGTGCTTGACTGTGCCAGGCTGCAGTCACAGAGCCAGACTGCAGGAGCTCAGGGCCTGTGTTTGCTTCCCCAAGCTGTCATTGCTTGTGGTGCCCCTGAAGGAGGTGGGCCCTGAGCTGTCTCAGGTACCAGGTGCAGTTCCTGTGCCCTGATTCCTGTGCCAGCAGTGCCCTTGTGGCTGTGTGCCTCTGCCTGTGGGGTTGTGCCAACACAGACATGAGCTCTGGTCCTGCACAGAGCTGGGTGCTGGTGAGTGGACTCCGCAGGCAGCTCCTGAAGAGTCCAGAGTGCAGCTGGGAGCTCAGAGGTCTCCAGGGCCTGCTGTGCTTCCGTGGTGGCCTCCGTGAGTCACCAAATGGCTCTGCGGGTCATGATTAGTGGCTACTGGTGGTGTAGTGCTGTGAGCACTGTACTGCACTGTACTATATCTGTACTATACGTCAGTCCTGGACTGGGAGCTCGTCTAGGCTGGGGCTGAACTCCCACAAGGCTTTTCTTCTGTGCAAAGACTTCAGATGACAAAGAACTGTGAAAACTTAGTCACATTAATAAAACTGATAAACTGTGTAGTGACATGTAGTTGCCAGGTCAAGAACACCAACCTTACCAAGGGCACTTGAGCTCATGCTTAGCTCCCTCCCCATTTACTGCAATGCTTTAATTCCTTCCTCATTCCTCTTGCTTGTAAGGTGTTCTCAAAATAAAGCACATGGTAGATAAGGATTTCAAACTGGACCTTGGCAGGTACAGATAAGCACTCAGGGAAAACTGAGATACAAGAAGGAGAGGAAAGAAAGGGCTGTGGGAATTGCTTGCAAAGGATGTGTTGAGCATAATGTATTATATGAGCTGACCCTGTTTCAGGGTAGGAAGGCCATTTCTTAGAAGGGCAGGGAGTTTCCCTGTAGTGGAAAGTAGGTTCTGTTAGTTTGGTTATTAGCAGACTGGGTTCTTTGATGCCACAAGGTCTGGTTTGGGTTTTTAAGGTTTTATATGTTCTGCCCAATAAATGCTTGAGTGTTTTTCTTTTTATCCAGTGCTGGTCTGTGCTTTCAGTTTTGTCCTAGCATGTTTACTCACTTCTCAAGTTGACTACAAAACTGAAATGGAAAATAATGGTATTTTTAACCCATTTGTAAGAGAGCAAAAAATGTCTGCCATGTAGTGAGCATACACTGTTGTTCCAAGCATCCTTGGAAAGAAATAGCTCTGTCAGTCTTTACCTCTGTCCTTACACTAATCCCTTGTATGACTCAAATTGGTTTTGCAAAGTTAGAAGCATATTATTTTTAACTGTATTTCTTTGTGAAGGCAGTATCTTTCTGGATTCATTTCCCTGTCTGGGAAACTGCTGGTGGGACTAGACATCTGTGGTGAAGCACAACCAACTTCCAACCGCAGCTCAAGCAGTCTGTTGGAGGTGAGCAGGAGAACACAGTCGCAGGTGCTGGCAGCAGGAAAGGTTCCTGTGGTTTCTCAGCTGGAAACAGCTGGTTTGGTGAGCTGTGGGAATCCCCAGACTAAGTGGGACACCTTCCCCCAGCACCCCCCAGTTCTGACTGCAGAGAAGATGAGGGAGGAAGGCTGAACTGCAAGACCTGGAGTGGATTTAGACTGCAGATGTATTTTCTTTCTAGCTGGGTTCTTGCCTCAGAAGAGCTGACTGCAGTGGCTCTGACATGGCAGCTGCTGCCAAACTGGTTATGATGGGAGTATCAGGATGAGGCAGTAGTACACATTCTGAGGTCTGCCTGCTCTTTGGGAAAACTATTTTCCTGGCTCTCTGGCCAGACTAGATCCATGATAGAGACACTGCTGGCCCTGTGTGCGAAGATCAGTTTGGCTTCTTCCTGGGGAATGTCTTCTGTTCAACACCTTCAGCAAACAGAGCACCAGAGCAGAAAGCTTAACTCCAGCTGGGCTGTCTCACAAATAAGTCAGTCTGCTCTCCACAAATCAGTCTTTCATAGTGGCTGAATGGTACCTGTGGATTAAATCTGTTTGAACTTGCTTTGGCATTATCTCAATTCATTTGGCAATTTATCCAGAAAAGGCTTATCTTACCAAGCAATCTCTGAACAGAAACAAACGCTTTGAAAATGAAGAGAGGCATGAGAGGAGAGGAAGAAGGATTGTGATAGTCCACACTTGCAAATTGGAAGTTGGGCATGTGGTATGCATAAGGGAAGGACAACTGTGTTTGTAAATTGGATGTAGTGGGAGTAGTGAATTTTTCAGGCCAAACTGCAACCTGTAGCCACATGTTTATGAGCTTTGTTCAGCTTTCCCAGCAGGTCTTATGTAAGAGAAGAAGAAAGTCTCTTACTTCATCTTACTTTTTGCATATATGCAACACATTTGTTTTTCTTAAAGTGTCTTTTGGTTTTTTAGGACTCTTTCTCCTTTCTTAAATTTGTGCAGTTCTTGTACAAGATAGTCTTCAACAGAGATTCTATTTGACTTGGAAAAGGGAAGACTGTATATTATCTAGTCTGCAGACATCATCTTTCCTTTGTGACAGTTATGATCAGAATTTCCACATCATAATGGAATTTAGCACATCTCCTACTACTGATTTTATGTAAAAGTTCACACAAAAACTCAGCAGCAGTGTTTTCACTTACCTGGAGTT